CTCTTTGAGCGATGAATGCAGCGGCACCGGAAACTTTCCTCGCTGTCATAACTTACACCGGAGCCACAAAAAAGTGAACGGGTGCGCTAAACGCCATCTTCGATTTTGGGTTCGCCAAACTCAAGGCGTAACGTCGATTTCCTACGTATTGTCGTCCTGCGACATATGAGAAATCCATCATGCTCCCGCAAGCTCTGGGGTTTCTCCCACGTGTGAGTATACGGCCACAGGAGCCTGGAGTTCATAGATTGAGCTTTGTTCATGACCCTTTAGCTTCCCGAGCTACTACCGAGAAGCGGGACGTACGATAATGCGATGTGATATGATCCTTCTGATCGTAAGCGTCCACGACATCTGGGCAGGCTTGCCGAAGTCGCACCTCAAACTTCCAGAGTCTCGGAGTTTGGATATTCCCGCCACTTATATTGGCCTTGATCCTGGCGACAACGTCGATCCACAAGATGTTTCACGTGATAGTGGACGCCAATGATCTTGTCGAGTAGAGTCATCGGCGGACGATGACGACTCGGTCGATCACCATCCGGTGACTTGCGCTGCTCTTCGAGCACTTGAAGACAAAATCAGTCGTCATCGGCTCTCTGCTGCGCATCTTGTCAAAGTTGCATACCGCTGTGCGAAAGGCCTCGAATGCTTGGAGCACTTTATACATCGACTGCATCACGTTGAGGAATATCGCACTCTGTCGGAGCGGCTCCTAGTCGTCAAGCAGACGAATGCGTCACTTTGTGCAACGGTGGGGCGCCTGACGCCGTTAGAAACGAGAATCGTTGCACTCCGTGCTCAAAAACAAGTCGCTGGTTGAGCTTGTAGGTGTCCGGACGCCATTAACCGCCGCCCCAGCAACAGCGCTTCCGCGTTCACTTGCGCTGGATCCCGGCGCGGCTTAAGCAAGCGCACATAAAACACCGAGTGGGTGCGCATCCTTCTCGGAAGGTTTGGGGTATACAAAAGGCCTCGCTTGGTCACGACTTTAAAAGGTCCGATAAACCTTGGATGGAGCTTCGTCTTAAAGCCAGCAGATACTGCATTTGTAGGGAGGTTTGAGCATTTAATAAAATCAGGTCTCCGATCTTCAAGTTTTCAACATTTCTTATGCTTCTATTGTTTGCATATTTTTTCTGCACGTCTTGGGTATCAGCCATCGCATCGTGAATGTGTCGTAGGAGTAGGACACTCAGTCTGGTATACAGAGAGTCATTAATCTTAACGGACACTGGGAACGCTTTCAACAGCTAGCCATGAGGTATTCCTCCCTCACCCAAGCCCTGGGCCATAGGATGGCGGCGTCAGCGGAACGTGAGGATTACTAAGCTCGTTCAAGTAGAACGGCGTGTAGCCGGTAGATGAATACACTGCATTATGGCTACTGGAGTCAATTGTCTCTATAGCGACCCACACTTCACTGGGAAGTTTTGGTTTACAATCTTCAAGGTGCTGGAGACCAAGTTGATTATGTTAACAGCGGGCCATCCACAAACCGATGGTTAGAATGAGCACTTGAATCGCGTTCATGAAAAGTTCTTCGCAGCGTCTGCACTGAGACGCCGAAGCGCTGGAGCGCCATGTTGCCATTCGTAGAGTTTGCTCTGAACAATGCAGTGCATGCGTCTACCGGCTACACGCCGTTCTACTTGAACGGGCTTATTAATCCCCGCGTCTTGCTGAAGTCGCCAGCCCATGGTTCATAGCGCGGTGGGAGAGAAATAGCCCAGCGGCTAGCTGATATCAGCCCCCTCACCGCCGTAAAGAAGTCGATGACTTCCTGTCGAACAGACTGAGTGTCTTACGACAAGTTTGCGATGCAATGGCTGAAAGCCAGGACGTACAGACAGAAGACGCAGAAGAAAAGGTGAGTACTTTGAGGTCGGGGTTCTTGCTTTTCAAATGCTGAAAACTTACCTTACGTGCGGTTTCTACCGTCTTTAAGAAAGGCTTCGTCCAAGGATTATCCAATGTCGTGGCCAAGAGAGGCCTTGCGTCTACTCCAAACCTTCCCGGAAGGATGCGAACAAACCCGGTGTTTTATGAAGGATTGCTTATGCCGGACCGGGAATCGGCGCAAGTGCACGCGAAAACTTTGTCGCCGATGTGGCGCCCAAAGGTGCTCGACCACCCAAAAGCTGAACCAGCAACTGGTTTTTGAGCACGAAGTGCAAGTATTCCAGTTTCCAACAGCATCAGGCGCTCCACCGTCACACGAGTGATGCATTCGTCGCTCGCCGGCTATGTGCCGCTCCGACAAAGCGCGATATTCCTCAACGTGAGGCGGTCGGTGCACAAAGTGCTCTGAGCACCCGAAGGTTTCCGCACAGCAGTAATCAAACTTGGCAAGATGCTTGGCGGAGTGCCAATGACAAAAGCGTTCTCTCTGAATAGCTCAGAGAGCATCTCAAGTCACTAGACGGCGATCGACCGAGTCGTCATCGTCCGCCGTCGACTCTTCTCGACAATAACGGTTTCGCCCACTTCCACGTGAAACGTTTTGTGGGTCGATACCATCGCCTGGGTGAAATTCAATAGCTGGTGAAGTGGCGGGGATACCCAACTCCAAGAACGCGAGGGAGTCTGAGGTGCCACTTCGGCAGGACTGCCCAGACGTCATGGACGCTTATGATCAGAGGAGGCATAACGCTCCGCGTCGTAGTACGCCCCGCTTCTCGGAAGAACACGGGGAGCTGAAGGGCCATGAGATGATTTCAAGCCAGAGCCCTGAGCTGCTGTGGTTGTAGACTCACAGGTGCGAGAAACCCCAGAATTCCCGGGAGCGTGATGGATTCTTCATATGTCGCAGGACGACAATACGTAGGAAGTCGGCGTTGCGCCTGCAGTTTGGCGAATTCGAAATCGAAGATGCGTTCAACGCGCATTTCCACTTCCTTGTAGCTCCGCTGTAAGTTAGACAGCGAGGAAAGTTTTCGGGCTCTCTTAAAGTTCTCTATTTTATCTGCAGTGGTTTCGTCAGGGGGGAGCACCTCAGAAATCGTCTGCATTGCGGGTACAGGAGTGCATTCTGCGCGAGCTCGAGCGCGGTACCTATCCATTGGAAATTCTTGAAGTACCAAGAAGCGAGCTCGGACAGCTTTACGTTGTTCAAGCTCACTTGTGATGTGGCCGGGGCCCGACTTCGAAGACGCTTAATGATCGGGTGATCGTGTCTTTCGCTTCAGTGGCAGGATCCGCGAGCGAAAGCCGTATTTCACACGAAAATCTAAGAACGACCGTAGATGCAAGTGTTTGAATGCCGCCCTGTGAGCAGCTCCAACTTCTGCTCCTGTCTCGTCGAGGCGATAGGGAATAATATCACTTTCTCTGGAAGTCGAGAGGTCGGGAACGGGCACGGTTTCCGTAAGGTTCGATTAGGGCTCACGTCGCGCCGTTGGCGCACCTCACCACATCTTTTCCATCCTAGAAACGAGTACTAGTCGAATATCTCCGAATCCCCCACAAGGAAATCTGGCGCCCGGTTGTCGTGAACTTAGGATATGCTTCCCGTGAAACCGGGGACGTGCTGCCCTTGGTTGCACCGCGTTCAGGAAACGAAATGGGCTCCGCCCGCGGACGCTCTTGAAATCACCTAGGCTGGGTGTTTTTCGCTTCAAGGACACAGGGTGCATTGAGCACTGAATGCGTTAGTAAGGTTCTTGGGGCGTAACGGTATCTTAGACACCGAGCCTCGTACGAGGCAAACGTTATGGGCTTTCACAATTTTGTTGGCGAGAGTGTAACGGTATTACACGTTCCCTGGTGTATAAGGGTGGGTCACACAAGATGGTGCGAATGTATAAAGGTGAGGATTACACAAGACGGTGTAATGACACAATGGTAAGGCTACACCGAAAGTAGAAGCCACTACGTCGCCGAACTGCCTGAAGTTATGCATATTCATGAGGTTATACTATTTATTTAATAGATTTAGATATAGGCTCTGTCGCAAATGCAACAAATGAAATATAGTGCGGAGCCAAACGGAATAGTGTATTTTCATTGGGTCAAGGTTTTGGGTTCTATTGGAGGTAGCGGATTATGACCCGCTACACTCATACTGGTCTAGTATAGAACGTAAGGTCGGTAACATTAGTAAGCTTGCTCTAAGCAAAGAGCTACGGCAGCCCCGCTGCACTCCCTCTGAAGCATAGCAGAATTCCTGGATTTCTCAAGTTCCCTAACCTAGAGTGACAGACTTCTTTCATGTATTCCATCAAAGAGCTACCAATATAGATGCCCTTTGTCCCATTGGGACGTTCCTTAAAGTGTCGCACCAGCTGATATTCAGTGCTAGTAAAAACCTCCAGGTGAACAATTACCGCATAAGGCCCTTGAGACGCGGTTTTACTGACCCCATCAAAACCAGCGATAGATACTACTAATCTTTTGAAGTTGTTCTGGGAAAACATCTCGTGATCTACCTTACAGAGGATACAATCCTTGCACGACTAGGTCGTAGGACTGACCAACCATACCACTAAGTGCAATGAGGCTGTCATGTACCTTAAACGGCAGAAATTTCGACTCGAACAATCCACTTATACAATGCTCAGTCGTTGTTTTAGTTCGTCCACCTAGGAACAAGACCGAGACCCTCAAAAGAAATAACTTCCAAAAGTGATGTGTATTTAGGTTTTTTCCCAACCTGATAAATATTATCATATCCTTGCTTGACGTGAGACCAACCAGCCAATTTATACCACATCCCTCTACTTTCCTTTCCAACGATCTTATCATCTTCATCAGTAGCATCTCTGAATATTTACAAGCACATAAGAGTGAAATTTGTACCTTCTTTTAATTGTTCGATAGTGTAATATTCCATAATTTACGCATGCGTAAGGTGTTCATAAACAACAAGTTGCATTTCCTTACGACTTCATTGGCATATTTACAATAACCTGCAGCTGAGCTCGTTGACACTTTTATTCATCACCATACCACGCATCAGGTATCTAATCAACTCACTTTCGCAATTTCATCCAACTACTCTCATGCATTTTCGCTACTTACGCACTATTCTGCTGGCAAGTCTTCTCGCTACCAGTGCTTTGGCAAGAACAAATCTCACGTCAACCACGTCACAGACAGTGAATTCATCTGGATCTCAAAGCACTGACGAAGAATTCAGAACATTTACACTCGATCACTTCCGTTTTGTAAGCGAACAAACCTCGGATGATCTTGATTTATACCGCATCAAGGACTCAGTCTTACCTTATCTGCAAAGCAAAGATTTTGCTAAAGCAGTCGGGTTGAAATTTGGGCCACCAAACCTCCTGGCGACTCTGTCGTGGCGAAAATGGGCCTACTTGATTTGCCGTCGAGACGTGAAGGACTGGTCGAGACGACACGAAATACTTCTTCATGGTATGAAGACTATATTTCCCCCCGAAAATCTGGAATTTATATTTCGAAATGCGCTCCAGGATCCTCATACAACTTTGCTCGCTGCTGCACTGCTCAAATATGAGCCGCAGCTTTTTGATACGATAACAAGGAACATTTTTGCGAAGGTCGATTATCGCCATTTGTTTAGCGAACAGTTTTTTGAGTGGGTGAAGTGTATACGCCTTCAGAATGGAGATAGACCTGAAGAGACATATATACTTGCTGAACTGGAACATCTCATCACGATCTATGGAGAGACCAAACTAGTTGGGATTTTGACCCTTCCGAACAATCAAAATGACAAAGGGCAAAAGTACTTGAAGGCTCTATCTTCGAAGTGGCTGAACGAGAGAAAGAATCCGGTCGCAGTTGTGAAAATGGTGATCCCCACTTCCGATAGTTTTCTCTATCGTGGGTTTGAGAAATTTTCTCCTCGAGTATGGATTGACTACCACATTAAATTCTACAAACGTTATCCCGATGGAGCACATACGGTGACGCTGCTTGATACGCTTAAAGAAGCTTTCGGTTCCGCAAAAGTGGCGAAAATGCTAAGAGAAGCGCGAGTGTCTGAAATGTGTCAGATAAAGATAAAGAGTGGGCCCTTTATTTTCAACAAGCACAATATCAAGAATGGTTCAACAACAAGCAACATCCTGGCGATGTTTATAATAAAATAATGGTTGACCCTGAGATTAGTGATTGGGGAGTGTATGCCAGAGATGAATTTGCCCAAGCCGTCGCCGGTGAATACTACGAAGCTCTTTATAACAATCATATTCTGGATACTCCACAACTTCCTGAGGTAAGAATATGATTGCAGTCGCAAGATTGGTTTATATGTGACTTCAAATGTGTAAACCAACACACTCGTAAGAAATAGTAATACACTTTCTTTGAATTACACTGTCAAAGCTTGGTTCATTTGTAGTGCTCAATAAACGTGCACAGCTTACAAGTCAAATGATCTTTCTGCAGTAATTATGCAGCATGCGAAGATCGAATGATGCGGCTTTAAAACGTTGGCATTGACCATTCAGCTGTTACAACTCAACCCAGAGTAAACTTTTCACGCACTCCACGTACTTCATGAGAATTCTTGCGTTTCTTATACAAAGATACCACATTACTCTGAATATTAGAAAAAGACAAGTCAAAGTCCTTTCTTGCCACGAATCCCGCAGTAAACTTTCGACTCCATATAGGGTCAACAGTATTGATCGGCAAAAATATCAAGCATCAAGTCGTTTTTAATACTCACATACGATAGACCACATCTGACCTTATCCCATCGAATGAAATTTTTGGCCAAGTTTCATCTTGCAGCAAATTTGAGTGGCCTTTCGTGAGTGCGTAATGTCATTTATGGAGCTAATACGATTAACTTATTCATCTAAACACGTATTTCCTCTAGCTTTGTCTTCTGAAATGGCTGATATATTGAATGGTCATATCACTGCATGACATTGTCAGGACGAAGACATAGCAATATAATTGACTTTTCTACTTCGAGTTTTAGCAACAAATTAACATTCCGTCGAATTGATGAAGGAAGATTAGTAATGTATCCGACTCACATTCTTCGATTTGGACCGAGACTCTCTGTCATCTTTGACGTGGTCTTTGCATTTACTCTCAATGCTATTTAGATGACGCTTTTCTTGGCCAACAATAGTTAATCGTGTGTAGACGAGTGATGGAACAATTACTAGCGCAGGCAGTGGTGGTGAGCAGCATACTATGGGAAGGATTTGGCGAAGAGAGAGTTTTGGTGATCAGGCGTGGAATTTTCGGAGAACAGAGTATCCACCTCCACTTGCTGCGCCAGTCCAGCAGAAATGAATCTCCTGTAGCTGCTGCTTATGTTCCTACCCTTGTTTCTGTGTCTGCTCCTGCTCATGCTCCTGCTTCATTTGAACCATTGGCATCAAAAATTCTCCGTCAGTGTCGTCATGCTATTATCATTAACTGGAAGAATTTGCTCTCAGGTGGCATGGGGTAGATTCGTCAGGAACTCCGTGACGAAAGAGACAGCAGCTGTCGAGACCACTTCACAGAAGTTTGCAAGCTTGTTTTTGGTCAAACGACTTCAGCGGAGAAGTCGATCGCATCTATATCAAAGTCACGCTCGGGTGGGACGGTATTAGTAAATGGGGGGCATCCTGAAAATAAAAATGGACTTCAGTAACGAAGGAAGGAAGTTTTCTTGTGACTACTTCACAAAAGCCTGCAAAAAGGTTTTTTATTGGACGGAGTCAGCGGAGAAGCCGCGTGAACATGGATTAAAGTCAGGATCGATCGACAGTAGGCGGTAACAATTACATCTACATGGGGATTTTTCAAGTCGCAGTGACTTTGTCCATACTACCGTAGGGCCCTGTCCACCGTACCACATTGAGCTCACACTAATTAAGTCAATGAGCTGTAATTAATGTAATGTGTATCGTATATCAGTAAAATAAATACCAAACTTTCCTGCAAAGCTCTTAAGTATCCATTATGAAGACAAAAACACCTTTGCATGCTCCGGGTACGCCTGCTGTCAGCCTGCATATAGTTGTATTGGTATTCAGTGTTATAGCCCTTACTTAATTCTAAATGTATGTTAATCTCAATATATATATATACTCTGCCGTACACACCAGGAACAACGATATGCAGTCTCTATATTAAGTCTCAGCAGAGATACAATACGGAGACTGTTAGGAATGATCAATACTTTCTAAATCATCCTGACACCGAGGTTTACTGCCACTATTGTCGTCCCAGCTATGCCCCAAAATCTTAGCGATACAATTGCTGTCAAATTAGTCAGTCACAGTCTACACAGAAGCAATCGTCAATTCATGCCCGTGCCAAAAGCGCTTCTTCTTCCTGGCAGAAGTAAATTCATGAAATTTCGAGAATACGTCAGGTGTAGCTGGGCTGCTGTAGCTCTTTCGCTTGAAGGAAGCTTGGTTAAGGTCGGTGATTTTCGTTCTATACTTAGAACCAGTACGATTGAAGCGGATCGCAATCCACTTACTCCAAAAGTAATTACAACCTTAACTTAAGGCTAACTAACGCTTCAGTAGGTTTTCCTGCCTATATATATTCAAACTTATCAAGTGTAAAGCTACTGGCTGTTCCAGCCACGTACCGACTTTTTGTTTAAGTATATACACACCATTGTGTGGTTACACATCTTGTGTTACTCACAAACTGCATGATCACACCATCTTGTGTGATCCACACCCTTCCTGCTAGGGCACGTGGAAACCCGTTCCACCAGGAGAGAAGTGGGGGCGCCTAGCTTCATAAAATAGTCGAATCATGGCTCCTGCACTCAATCCACGCCATATGTAGGGAGTGATATATCTCGAATTCAAATTCAGGACAATGCAGCATATCACGCTGGCAAAATCGTCCAATTCGATCGGAAGGTTCAACAACATCTTTGATTCTCGTCGCAAGACGCACATATATTGTATCAGTATTCGGCATCGTCAATGCCCACCTATAGTGTATTTCTTTGTAAGTAGGGTGTTGCACGTGAGCCCACTTGTTTCTCATCGCTTGAAGCGTAAACCTGAAAATTTGAGCGCACACTACGCGTCAGTACGCGTCTGCATCACATGACGATTCTAAACTACTCAAATCGGTCAGACTTCTTGATGCAAAATAGAAAGACGTCTCTATACCCGTAAAACACCTCAAATACTGGGTATCCTGATGTGTGCAGCGTTTGCTGCGAACCTAGTTTTGCGTGCCAACGGGTCCATTCTCGCGCGCGCCTTCCATAATTGGACACTGCTAGAGCATTACGATGCGCCAGCAATAATGTGACTGAATACATGGCTATCTCATCTTCTCTCGTCCAGAAAAGGTTATCATCACCTCGCTCTGAAATGTCCTACGTGTTGAATGCTGGTTGTGCGACCACCGACGTTCAGATGAAGATCTCCCGAGAATGTCTCAGGAACGCATTCTCACAGTTATTGCAATCAAAAAGTCCATCGCCGCATCCGGCTCTGGGACCACAAAGTGTACTATCGCGACCAACTCAAGTCATGCTAACAATATGTGCCGAGTCATCCAAGGTCAGAAAGTCAATGAATCGTGTTTGACCCACACGGAGGGTATTGTGATTTCCGAATTGTCCGTTAGATTGACTACAGCAAAATGACGATGTATTTCTGTATAAGTCAATCGAGAGAAGAGGATTTGGCTTCGGGGATTTACTGAAGTTCAAGTAGAGAAAATGCATCTTACATGAGTGTATCATTTTTATCCAAGTTTACTGGTGAAGTATGTCTACTGCACAAGTCACTGATCGTTTTTGTTGTACATTTGATTATAAACTCTTTAAAAGATTAACCAAAATTAACAAGCCTATAGCCTAGCTAAGTATGTGCCTATTGTTTCGTGTGTATTCATCGCGCTCTAATTCTACATGAATCGACATCATAAGAACTATCACTCCTTATAGCGTGCAAGGAGGGTACTGTGTTTCCCACACAAAAAAGCTTTAAATCCTGGAGTTGCGTGAACACCCGCACAGTTGGACGCAGCGAGGAACATCATCCGTTCAAGCTTCATTTGAAACGACTTTGCAATGCATCAAGCACAAAAAAGTGTTTTGAGCTGTACATAACCGTACACACGCCTTGCACTTCCGTTTGAGTGTGCAAGAAACAACATCTTACAAAATCACACGTTACATTCGACTACGAAAAGGAGAAATCAAAAGATACGCGTGAGTTGCTAGACTCACGTCAAATCTTGAAAATAGTAACGATAGTCTAACTACTGGATACGGTAAAGTGTACAAATCAAAGCTTTGTTCAAACAAAAATAATTCTCTATAAATAACACCCTTGGGGAAGAGGGGCAAATTCAGTAACTGGGAGCTACAGAGATTCATCACGAGAGACGATAAGGCTACCAACTTTAAAGGAGGGTCCCGGGCAAATGTGGCTGATATTGAAGTCTTCCGTATCTACTTAGATTAAACAACAATGCTAAGAAAGTTACATTGATTGCAAATCGCAAATTTATTCTTCAAGACTCTGGTAAGATGCGTCAGAGTCAGCCAAGAATTATTGTGGGGTACAACTGAGACCAAGAGGGCGTGAGCAACAGAAATTTAGGTTTAATCGTACTCAATATGTGATAATGTCAATGGGGCCCAATCCTTCTAAGGAAGCGACTCTGTCGAAGAAAGGTGGGGTTTAAATTGAGATGAAGGCGCTGATTAACACAAAATCCTGGTCTTGGTAAATGCTAAAATATCCACAAGTGAGATACGAACCGCGGCTATCGTGAAAACAGTGCTCACGTGGAGAACTTGAAGATGCGGAGTCCAGCCACGATATCCTTTCATCTTTGGAGTAAAGTGTAGAGCTTTCGATTTCGTTTGAACCTTTTTGCAAAAATTGAGGGCATTGCAGTGTGATATGTTGCCTGGTTCTAAACCTGTAGCCTGAATTCGAGATCCTTCAAGGTATTGTGTGACTTGAACACTCCTACCTAGAAATCGATAGGAAATCGATAACATTAGGTGACATGCACTTCTTTCGAAGTGGAGCTCAAGCTCTAGCAATGCTTTCACCATGTACTTTTATAGTGCCGAAAAGCTCTTGGTAGGCATAAAGCTGCGATAGATTTGACTATGAACATGAAATTGACCGGATAAACTGGCAGCAATGTGGCCAAGTGCCTTGAGCTAAGTATAGAAGTCAAAGTTGGAAGTTAGCCGCAACCTCGTGATGAGAAGATAACGATTACGTGTTACGGTCTCATCAGCACATGTTTGCAGATACAGAAATGAGCAGCATCTTTTATCACAGCTTCAAGCTGGGGATCCAGATATTTGATATGACTGGGTGTATAATGGTGGAAGTGTGTCGCGGTCTTTGGGGTTCGATGACATGAGAAAGATTCTGTGTGGCATCGTTCTGTAATCTCCTGAGCAATAGCCAATTGAGGCAGGCGACTATTAGTCACGAGTAGAAGGCATAGGACCAGAACTTATATAGGTAGATTTAAGTATGTCACGATGTAACGAAACTGCTAAATTAGCACAATCGTGTGATGCGCTCGCCGTATGGAGTAATAAGGAATTGATGGCGAGAAAATCATTCACTCTTGAATGGAATTACTCGGGTAGTCCTAGGGGATTTTTTCATGGCCTAGAAGTATGGTAGAAATTATCATTGATCTTGAGGATTTATTTTAATGCGAAGAAGTGGAGCTCATCATTTGTCATAGATGACTACGTCACTAAAGCTTCTGATCGGGCATTGAGCGAAAGAGGTAGAATGTTTTTCGAGTGCTGTACGGATCTTTGTTAAGAGAAAAATACGACCAGGTAACGAGAGACCCATCGTGTATATGACTCGCGTATTGGAGAGTGCGACATGAGATTGATTTAGTTTCGCGCCGCGCTTCATCAGGGGACAGTGCGACAGCATAGGCACCCTTTCCGCGCGAGTCATAAAGCGGGTTTGGTAAACCTTGCCAGCTGGCGCCGACCATCTATGCCAGAAAGTATATCTGCAAGTACTAAATTGGCATGATTTTAAGAGAAAAGTTCTTATTTTAGCGCAAGCTGTTTCCTTTACAAAAGACGTTGCCTATCCGCGTCCAGTGCTCCCGGTCTACTAAATAGTTATATCAAGTGATCATGAGAGACATTGCGCTGTAATGAGTACTCCAGGCAAGATGCTCAGATAGTAGAAGTTTATACTCCCGAAACTATCAAAAGCGACAGCGTCGTTTGACGGTAGGAAACAAACGAAACGTTGCTGTTTTGGTCATATTGTACCTATGCTTAACCTCATTCGACGGAAATTCCATCCATAGACAAGCAGAGCTCAAAAAATTGCATGTGAACGGTTGCATCAAACACTTAAGAGAAGTGCTAGAACGTATGCGTTTAGAAAAGTTGTTTGTCAACACACGAAGTTAAGCTTATGGTGCCGAAAAAATTCACTTTAAATATAGCTTCTTCTGCAGACAGATTCTGAAGTATTGAGACATTCGACAATTGGCAACGGCCACTGTTCTAGTGGGGTGAGAGAATGGCTTGGCTAACTATTTTTGCAAGAGTAGTGTAAAAGTACATGGCTCCTTGCCTATCTTGTTACAAAGATATGAATTGTGATGATGTGCTACAGAAAAAGCGGCCTTTAAGGCTATAGCGCTATAGAATAAGGCCTAATGAGCACCCGTTTATGTTTTTCAGATCGGTCTTTTGATATCGTCTGTGTCGCTTCGGCCTTTGTCCTAGCCAAGCGAATGCCAATGGAGATTCATGCATTGATCTGTTTGCGTCTCATCAACTTTAAGCGGCAGAGAGAAAGTACCTAGCATGAAAGAGCTTCTCGTTGTTACGAGTACTCGTGTCGGATGAAGGTAACATGTGTTCGGCTCCAAGGTGATCTATAAAGATCATGCTAGTTTTGCTCGGCGTCATCACCACAACATCTCCTGTGAGAGATATTAAGGTTATTATTTATTTTGTCATGTAAATCTATCAGGCACGGTATCTGCTAAAAATGCAAAATGAAAAAGGTAAGCTTTCTTGTCGCTCCAATTATATACTATCAAATGTCAGAATGGTGACGTCGCGCATTAATGTGAGGCGATACGTACAGGAAGTGTCTCGGTTGCGATATGTTATGCATTTAAGAATTTATAGAAGCAATACATATTTTCTGAGCTTAGATGACTCTTTACCGAAATATTTGGTAGCTTATTTGTAACCACTTTTTCTCGCTCCGAGCTTGCTATTACTACTCTGATTCATTCGACATTCAATCGAGGTAGTATCTCGAGATGAGAGTACAAACACAGTCTCTATGAAACGCATGACACTTCCTCGAACCACCATCCCAATAAAAAGACATGATGTTGAATGAGAGCTATAACAGCTGAATCAGAATGTATAAATGAGTAAGCTCTCATGTACGCATGAGCAACATATAAATGAGCTAAAGTCTCGCCACATGCACAGGTGTCTTTATCCAGTCTAACTGTTCCGGTAGTGTATTGGCGGTCCACTGATATAGACTTTAAATTTAATCTTTAAATAGTGTCCGGTAAGTACTGGTATTTTAAACGTTTTAACTTAGTTAGCAACATGTTTCATGCCGCACTAAGCGACACTGTTGCCGGCAAAAATCCACCAATACATATCTCCACAAGTTATGGCTTGTACTAATTAAAAGATGTGAAGATAGAGTCCCGTGGATACTTGGGCTATGAACCTCACGTCATGCAATAAATGTAGTTTAATATTGGATGTAGTAAAATGTGTCTTTACAGTATTTGTGTGAGTAGATTCAATTGTTAGTATATGTTTTGTTCGAAACAGTAAATTTCGTATCGACAGAAAAGCTTTTTGTTATTTATCCTCCTGAGTAAAATGTACGATTCCCATGCTCTGTGTGTCTGTCAACGCAGACTTTTCAAATCAAATGTTCCTATGTGCAAGGTGCACGGAGAACCCGTTGCACATGAAAATACTGTGATCGTATACAATAGAGAACACCTCGGCTGCCTCGCCGTGTCTGCATGCAGGAAGTTGACCACAGATTTCTTAGCTTCAGTAAGCAGGTTAAGAAGATAACTTTTGATGTGATAGTATCTGTATCGATAAGACAAATTGGTAGCTTGTTAAGCTGTCAACAATTGCGCAGTGTCTCCTGATAAGATAAATAAATGTGATCTCAGTGAGATTTACATTTGGTAGTTGAGAAATAACAAAGTGCATTTAATTTACACATTAGATTACCGCTTGTTAGACTTTTATCAAAGCAGTTCCAATGGAAAATGCTGTGGTAAAGAACTAATTATTGCTCGGTTGAATGAGGATGATACAACATCATTAAGGAAAGATCTCTCGCGCTAAGCTATTTGATGAACTTAGTTATAATAATACTAAAAAACATATATAGAACCACCGTAGGCTCGACCAAATAGAATATACATGTCACTCTAGCATAAAGAAAAAACAACGTATCTGCACTTTAGAGCCTCTCGGCCAGGCACTCAGGTGGTGCGTATGGACCCGTACGGTACGGGAGACTAATAGCGGACTTGACAACGAAAATTTTCAATGCTAGAGCTGCACTGCAACTCCATTATGTCTTTCCTCGTAGCTTACTATAAATTTACCATCATCTCAAAAGATGTGAAAAGATATAAGGTTCTCACAGCTCTAGGTGAATTTGTTTAAACGATAGCGAGTATCGTCAAAGGTGTATGCGCGATAAGGCTTGGATACTTCTTCTTCAGAAGTTGAATGGAATGCAATATTTGACTCGAGAAGTTGAAAGTTCATGACATTAGTTAAAGAGCTTAGAGTTGTATAGGACACTTACCGTAAGGCTACTGATGCTGAGCGTCCAAGCCTTCAAGAGCCGGAACGAATAGAGTTTCTTCCTCTTGATGAGAAAAATGAAGGAAATTGATATGTCCATGGAACTTACCCTGAAACCACATTGTATCGCGCTTACGATACCCAATTAAGAAAGTCGCAGACAAGATTAGTCAATCATGTGCAAAACCTCGACAAAGAGAAATCTCACGTCGAACTAATTGAACCAACAGAAATCTCGAGTGCTTGCATAGTCTAACTAAGCGGATTGGGGCGCGCATAATTTTTGTTTATACTTCAAGAAAGGCAGGAACAGGCAATATATGTCCACGAATTGAGAATTCTCATCGGCTTAATGACGTCAGCCTATCTCCAACGGCTATCTCGGTGGAGGATTCTCGATTGGAAGGCTTTCGGCCTCCGCTTCACCTGTTTTTGTGAGCGGTGAACGCTGCAGTCAATGCAAGGTACAACTTCCGTGTCATGAGGCTAGGATGAGATGCCGGGACCGTAAGCGTTGTGAGCGCCCCAGAGACGGTGGATCTCAGCCTGAATGGTGGGAAAGAACCTTTTTCTCGGAGCAAATCCGCGGTACTCGCAGTTGTGTTCTCTATGGGGGTCAAAATCATCTGCACCTTACGCCCCCCACCCCACGCCACCGGATGAGAGGTACGAAGGATCGGCACGGGTGCAGACGAATCCATTGCGGAGAATCTTTGAATTTTATTAGGCTGCCCTGCGTCTACTGGGAAAGAATTGTGCTTCATTGTATTTCGTGGTTGTCGAGATCAGTAAATTTATCTCTTAATTGAGCATCAAAGCTCAGAGTTGCTAGTCGATGATGACAACGTGGCAGACTTTGTGAAGCCGTGGAAAATCCTGATAGATTCGGGAGTCGTGCAATTATGCAACGGGGTTGCCGTGCATTTCGCCCCGAGGAAGCTTTGTGTCTCAGAGTCAGATGATGGGTCCGAGCGCTGTGACCAAGAGCTAAACCGAGAGCCTCTCTGATGACTAACTGTGAGTTTGCTATGCTATGTGCATGAGCACAATAAATTCTATATCTACTGATACGAACTAACGGATTTTTACGAATAGAAGACCTTCTACTATTACAAGCCCCCATCAAATTTTTGACAATGTTCTAGAGATAGAAGACCGCTTCGATTAAAATAACGCTTCGATTAAAAGACCTCTTCAAATAAAAGGCAGCTGTAAATACCTTAGCATTGGGCCGTTATTTTGAAATCAACCATGCGTCAAGCAATTGAGCTCGGAAAGAAGCAGGAGGCGAGCAAGTGGATCGGCGAACAAGGTGGTGGCGTGCCGAGTCGCGCGGCGCCTCACTTTCGCAAGAAAGAGTGAAGTGTTGATGCTGCCACATTTCGAAAGTGATGGCGCAACAGAGACGAGATTTTAAGTGTTCAACCATACCAAAAGCGGCTAAAAGTTGGTGGTCGCAGACCACTTCTAGGAACTCTC